TGTGGGATTCAGGATGTGGGATTTGGGATTCGGGATTCAGCATGAGGGATTCAGGATTCGGGATGTGGGATTTGGGATGCAGGGATTAAGGATGCGGGATTTGGGATGAGGGATTAAGGATTCGGGATGTGGGATTTGGGATGCAGGATTCGGGATGCGGGATTTGGGATGAGGGATTAAGGATTCGGGATGTGGGATTTGGGATGCAGGATTTGGGATGAGGGGTGCAGGATTTGGAATTCGGTGTGAGGGATTCAGGATGTGGGAGGAAGGACGAGGGATGCGGGATTCGTGACACGGGATTTGGGATTCAAAGTTTGGGATGAGGGACGAGGGATTCAGGATTCGGGATGTGGGATTTGGGATGCAGGATTTGGGATGAAGGATTAAGGATTTGGGATGTGGGATTCGGGATGCGAGGTGTGGGATTTGGGATTTGGGATTCGATGTGAGGGATTCAGGATGTGGGAGGCAGGACAAGGGATGCGGGATTCATGATATGGGATTCGGGATTCAGGATTCAGGATGTGGGATTTGGGATGAGGGATTCAAAATTCAGGATGAGGGATTCGGGATGTGGGATTCAGGATGAGAGATTCACAATTTGGGATGCGGGATGAGGGATTCAGGATGTGGGATTTGGGATGCAGGATTTGGGATGAGGGATTAAGGATTCGGGATGTGGGATTTGGGATTCAGGATGCGGGATTTGGGGTGCGGGATTTGGGATTCGGGATTCGGTGTGAGGGATTCAGGATGTGGGAGGCAGGACGAGGGATGCGGGATTCGTGATACGGGATTCGGGATTCAAAATTTGGGATGAAGGATTCGGGATGTGGGATTTGAGATTCAGGATTCAAAATTTGGGATGTGGGATTCGGGATGTGGGATTTGGGATTCAGGATGCGGGATTTGGGGTGCGGGATTTGGGATTCGGGATTCGGTGTGAGGGATTCAGGATGTGGGAGGCAGGACGAGGGATGCGGGATTCGTGATACGGGATTCGGGATTCAAAATTTGGGATGCGGGATGAGGAATTCAAAATTCAGGATGAGAGATCCAGGATTCGGGATGAGGGATGCGGGATTCAAAATTCAGGATGTGGGATTCGGGATGCAGGATTTGGGATGAGGGATTAAGGATTTGAGATGCGGGATTCGGGATTCGGGATTCAGGATGTGGGATTTGGGATGAGGGATTCAGGATGAGGGATGCTGGATTCAGGATTTGGGATTCACAGTTTGGGATGTGGGATTCAGGATGCAGGCTGTGGGATTTGGGATTCGGGATTCGGCGTGAGGGATTCGGGATGTGGGAGGCAGGACGAGGGATGCGGGATTCGTGATACGGGATTCGGGATTCAAAATTCGGGATGAGGGATTCGGGATGTGGGATTTGGGATTCGGGATGAGGGTTTCAAAATTTGGGATGCGGGATTCAGGATGAGGGATGCTGGATTCGGGATTCACAATTTGGGATGCAGGATGAGGGATTCGGGATGCGGGATTCAGGATGAGGGATGCGAGGTGTGGGATTCGGGATTCAGGATGTGGGAGGCAGGACGAGGGATGCAGGATTCATGATACGGGATTCGGGATTGAAAATTCGGGATGAGGGATTCAGGATTCGGGATATGGGATTTGGGATTTGGGATGTGGGATGTGGCATTTGGGATTTGGGATTCGGCGTGAGGGATTCAGGATGTGGGAGGCAGGACAAGGGATGCGGGATTCATGATATGGGATTCGGGATTCAGGATTCAGGATGTGGGATTTGGGATGAGGGATTCAAAATTCAGGATGAGGGATTTGGGATTCGGGATGTGGGATTCAGGATTTGGGATTCACAAATTGGGATGCGGGATGTGGGATTCAGGATGCAAGATGCGGGATTTGGGATTCGGGATTTGGCGTGAGGGATTCAGGATGTGGGAGGCAGGACGAGGGATGCGGGATTCGTGATACAGGATTCAGGATTCCGAATTTGGGATGCGGGATTCAGGATTCGGGATGTGGGATTTGGGATGAGGGATGTGGGATTCAGGATGTGGGATTCGGGATGAGGGATTCAAAATTCGGGATGAGGGATTCAGGATTTGGGATGTGGAATTTGGGATGTGGGATTTGGGATGCAGGATATGGGATGAGGGATTAAGGATTTGGGATGCAGGATGAGGGATGCGGGATTTGGGATTTGGCATGAGGGATTCAGGATGTGGGAGGCAGGACGAGGGATGCGGGATTTGTGATACAGGATTCGGGATTCAAAATACGGGATGAGGGATTCAGGATTCAGGATCTGGGATGCAGGATGAGGGATTTTGGGATGTGGGATGCGGGATGAGGGATTCAGGATGCAGGATTTGGGATGTGGGAGGTGGGATACGGGACGAGGGATGCGGGATGCAGGATGCAGGGTACGGGATTTGGAATGCAGGATCTGGGATGCGGGATGAAGGATTCAGGATTTGGGATTCAGGATGCAGGATTTGGGATGTGGGAGGTGGGATACGGGACGAGGGATGCGGGATGCAGGATGCAGGGTACGGGATTTGGAATGCAGGATCTGGGATGCGGGATGAAGGATTCAGGATTTGGGATTCAGGATGCAGGATTTGGGATGTGGGAGGTGGGATACGGGACGAGGGATGCGGGATGCAGGATGCAGGGTACGGGATTTGGAATGCAGGATCTGGGATGCGGGATGAAGGATTCAGGATTTGGGATTCAGGATGCAGGATTTGGGATGTGGGAGGTGGGATACGGGACGAGGGATGCGGGATGCAGGATGCAGGGTACGGGATTTGGAATGCAGGATCTGGGATGCGGGATGCAGGATGCAGGATTTGGGATTCAGGATGCTGGATTTGGGATGTGGGATGCAGGATGAGGAATTCAGGGTTCGGGATTTGGGATGAGGGATGCAGGATGCGGGATTTGGGATGAGGGATGCAGGATTTGGGATGTGGGATGTGTATTGTGGGATTTGGGATATGGGATTTGGGGTGCAGGATGAGGGATTCAGGATGCTGGATTTGGGATGCGGGATGAGGGATTTTGGGGTGTGGGATGCAGGATTTGGGATGTGGGAGGCGGGATTTGGGGTGTGGGATGCAGGAGCTGGGATGTAGAAGGCAGGATTCGGGATGAGGGATTTTGGGGTGTGGGAGGTGGGATTTGGGACGAGGGATGCGGGATGCAGGATTTGGGATGTGGGAGGCGGGATTTGGGATGTGGGATGCAGGATGCAGGATATGGGACGCAGGATGTGGGATGTGGGATGTGGGATGCCATCCCGGCGGATAATCCTGACCCCACAGACCCCCAGATTTGGGGGCCGGAGCATCTCCGTGCCCCCCAACCCTTCCCTGGTGCCACCCCATCCCTGACCCAGCTCCCACTGCCCCCCATAACCATCGGGGTCCCCCTAATCCTGCGGGGTAGGGGTGGGGGTTGTAACCTACAGGGGGGTTGTGACCTACAGGGGGGTTGCAGCCCTTTCCCCCGCCCCCCACAACAAGTTGTCCCCCCCTTTTGCAGAGACACCCCGCCTGGAGATGGGGGGCAGCGAGGAGAGGCCCTACTCGGTGCCCCCACCCTCCGTCACCCACAATGGCTTCCTCTACAAGACCCCCTCCATGGCCAAGCCCGTGGGCGAGCGGAAGGGCCAGGAAGGTCTGTGGGGCTGGGAAATCGTTTTGGGGGGGACACATGACGACAAGGGGGGGTGTGGGGGTCAAAAAGGGGTGTCAGGAAGGTTTTTTTGGGGGGGGATTGCCCCATCCCCTGCACCCCAGGGGGGAAACAAAGGCAGTCCCAGCTCTTTCAGTCTTTCTTCATAAGGGAGATGCTCCACTCCTTGAATCATCTTCGTTGCCCTTTGCTGGACTCTCTCCAGTAGTTCCCTGTCCCTCTTGAACTGGGGAGCCCAGAACTGGCCGCAGGATTCCAGTTGTGGCCTCCCCAGTGCAGAGCAGAGGGGGAGAATGACCTCCCTTGACCTGCTGGCCACACTCTTCCCTACGCAGCCCAGGATCCCGTTGGCCTCTTGGCCACAAGAGCACCCTGGTTGCTCATTGTCATCTTGTTGTCCACCAGGACCCCTAGATCTTTCTCTCCAGAGCTTGTCTCCAGCAGGCCCACCCCTAACCTGTACTGAATTTCACTGAATTTCACTGAATTTTTAGAGTTGGAAGGGACCATAGAGATCATCTAGTCCCACTCCCCTGCTGAAGCAGGACCACCCAGAGCTTGGCAGAGCATGTTACTCAGGAGCATCCAGGTGGGGCTTGAAGATCTCCAAGGAAGGAGACTCCACACCCTCCCTGGGCAGCCTGTTCCAGGGCTCTGCCACCCTCACCGTGAAGAAGTTTCTCCTCATGTTTGAGTGGAACCTCTTCTGGTCCAACTTGTGCCCGTTGCCCCTCGTCCTCTCACTGGGAACCACTGAAAAGAGTCTGGCTCCCTCCTCCTTCAACCCACCCTTGAGATACTTGTCACCATTGAGAAGGTCTCCCCTCAGCCTTCTCTTCTCCAGGCTAAAGAGTCCCAGCTCTCTCAGCCTCTCCTCATCAGGGAGATGCTCCAATCCTTGAATCATCTTTGTTGCCCTACGCTGGACTCTTTCTAGTAGTTCCCTGTCCCTCTTGAACTGGGGAGCCCAGAACTGGACACAGTACTCCAGTTGTGGCCTCACCAGTGCAGAGTAGAGGGGGAAAATGACTTCCCTTGACCTGCTGGCCACACTCTTCCCTACGCAGCCCAGGATTCCGTTGGCCTCTTGGCCACAAGAGCACCCTGCTTGCTCATTGTCATTTTACTGTCCACCAGGACCCCTAGATCTTTCTCTTCAGGGGTTGTCTCCAGCAGGTCCACCCCTAACCTGTGCTGGTGCTTGGGGTTCTTCCTCCCCAGGTGCAGGACCCTACACTTTTCCCTGTGGAACCTCATGAGGTTCTTCCTTGCCCAGCCCTCCAGCCTGTCCAGGTCACGCTGGATGGTGGCACAGCCCTCTGGGGTGTCAACCACCCCTCCCAGTTTGGTACCATCAGCAAACTCGCTGAGGATACTTGACCAAGCAAACTTGACCTCATCCAGGTCATTGATGAATATATTGACCAGCACCGGACCAAGTATTGACCCCTGGGGGCCACCACAGGTTACAGGCTTCCAACTTGACCCTGCTCCATTAATCATTACCCTTTGGGTCCTGTCACACAGCCAGTTCTCAATCCACCTCACTGTCCCCTCTTCCACCCCACACTTCCTCAGTTTCCCAATGAGGATGTTATGGGAGACAGTGTCAAAAGCCTTGCTGAAGTCAAGGTAGATGACATCTGCTGCCCTCCCCTCATCCAACCAACCGGTTATGGCATCGTAGAAGGCTATCAGATTGGTCAAACATGATTTACCCTTGGTAAATCCATGTTGACCACTTCCAACTCTTCAACTTGTTTGGAGATGACATCTAGATGACATCTAGAATGAGTCTCTCCATTATCTTCCCAGGGACGGAGATGAGACTAACTGGTCTGTAGTTCCCAGGGTCCTCCTTCTTGCCCTTTTGGAAGACTGGAGAGATGTTGGCCTGGAGAGGAAGACTGGAGAGAAGGGACCTCCAAAGGCCATCTAGTCCCACCTTCCCACAGTCAGCAGGGACACCCCCAACTAGACCAGGTTGCCCAGGGCCTCGTCGAGCCTCACCTTGAATATCTCCAGGGAAGGGGCCTCAACCACCTCCCTGGGCAACCTGGTCCAGTGCTCCACCACCCTCACAGTGAAGAACCCTCTCCTCATCTCCAGTCTAAATCTGTTCCCCTCCAGCTTGGAGCCATTTCCCCTCGTCCTGTCACTCCAGGCCTTTCTAAACAGGTTCTCCCCAGCCTTCCTGTAGGCCCCTTCAGGTACTGGAAGGCTGCTATTAGGTCTCCTTCCATCCCCCTGATCATCCTTGTGGCCCTCCTCTGGACCCTCTCCATCAGGTCCATGTCCTTCTTCTATTGAGGGCTCCAGACCTGCACACAACACTCCAGGTGAGGTCTCACCAGAGCAGAGCAAAGTGGCAGAATCCCCTCTCTGGACCTGCTGGCAACGCAGCTTTTGATGTAGCCCAGGATGGGATTGACCTTCTGGGCTGCAAGTGCCCACTGCCTGCTCATGTCCAGCTTCTCCTCCACCAGCACCCCCAAGTCCCTTTCCTCAGGGCTGCTTTCCAATCCCTCACCCCCTACTTTGTATTGGTGGCGAGTCCTCAGGAACCTCTCAAGTTCTCCATGACCTTTCAAAGATGGTAGAGAGTGGCCCAACGATACCATCTACCAGCTCCCTCAGCGCTCGTTTGAGGGGTGGGGGATTGAGTGGGTGATGGTGGTGGTTGTGGGGGTGATGTGGGGCTGGTTAGGGGTTGAGGATGGGGGGTCTGTTGGCCAACTGTGGGTCCCTGTGCCCCACAGAGTTCAGCCGGCGGTGGTGCACGCTGCAGGACGGGGTCCTCAGCTACTACGAGAGCGACCGCAACGCCGTGCCCAACGGGGAGATCAAGGTGGGGGAGGTGGTCTGCCTGGTCAACAACCCCCCCCACGCCCACGGGTGAGACTGGGGAACCCCCCACCCTTCCCCC